CCTGCCGGCCCGACGCGGGCTACACCCACCTTCGTTTCCGCAGAGAGGGACTCCTCTAACCCAGGACCTTGGGGCCCGGCTCCCGATTCCAGAGCAGGGGCTGGGCGCTGGGGGCCTGACCACCTCCGCTCCAGGATGTCCAATGGGCACCCCACTGCCTCCCAGGCCGCCCCTCCTGCACGCTCCTGCCCCCCGGGGCCGCGCCCTCCTCTGAGCCGCTTGAACCCAAACCCTGAAGTCAGCCTTGACCTCTGCCTTTGGATCACACACCTCGTGGGTCAGCTCCAAAAGGCACCCAGAACCCGGCCAGGCTTTCCGCCCGCACTGCCACGCAGGGCCGCCATCACCCTCACCTGGAGCACGGCGTAGGCTCCCCCCTGGCTTCTTGGCCTCTGCCCTGCACCCCGCCAGACTCTGTGCACTGAGGAGGGGGTCGCTCGGTGTCTCCCAGAGCCTTGCTGGGGCTCCCACTGGAGGCAGCACATCTGCCCTTCCCCCATGCAGTCCCCTGGCTCCCTGCCCCAGCCCCACGCTCCCCCCCCCCACCCCCCCCGCCCCCCGGGCCTGGTCCTCTGCACCTGCAGTGCCCCTGCCTGGAACGCCCTTCCCTCCTCAGTCCTCGGCGGGAGGGACGCTGAGTCCGTCTGAGTGCTGCGGGCGCTGTCCCCTGCGCGTGGGGGCTCCTCCAGGGCTGCCCCGGCCTCTCTTCCCGGGGGACATCTCCTAGCGGGCGTAGGCCAACCAGCCCCGTCGTTACCGCCGGTCTCGGGGCTCAGCCGGTGCTCAGCCCCTCCGTCCTCCGCTGTGCAGCCTAGCTGGCCAGCCTCACCCCACCTCTGCTGTCACCTCTGCAGGTCATGGGGGCCTACCTGGGGGCGTGACCCGCATCCTCACTCCTGAGGGTCCGAGCCCCTGGTCGCCGTGCCTTCTCGGGCCGGGCCAGCTGCGCCGTCCACGCACGTGAGAGTCACACAGGGGCCCCACGGTGCCAGAGGGGGTCCACGCGGGTCCCCACCCCCTCCTGCTGACAGAGCCGTGGCTGCTCCTCCCGTCTGGGCCCAAGGGGCTCGAAATGCCAGGGAGGCAGTTGAAGCTGAATTCAACAGGCCCTTGTCCGTGTGTCCTGGTGCGAGTGTGCCCTGTGGGAAGGGACCTATGACCCTCAGAGCCCCTGGGGGGTGGAGGTACAAATCCCTCAGTGGGCTGCGGCGTCCACGCCACTCGATCTCCTCCCGCTGGAAATGCAGCACCGTGTCCAGATCTCCGGTTCATTCCTCTCCGACCCTTGGGACGGCGCCCACCCTCTCGGGCATGGCCCCGCTGCGGTGCCTCGGAAGGCTGCTGGTGCGGCACGCGGTGCGAGCAGTGAGCTCTGCGCTGACGGGCCCTGATAGGGCACCTTGCGGCGTGGGTTCCCCGGGTCAGGCTTCCACGAGGTCATGGGTCCCGGTGAGCAGCCCACACCTGAGCGGGTGTGTGACGACCCACCCGTGTGGAAGGAACCCAATGTAGCCAACTCGCCACCAGGTGGCGATTCGTTCCCCACAAAGAATGTGCCATTTTGGAGACTTGGTGTTGGTGTCAGAGGAGGCGGTGGCCAGGAGATCCCAGGCAGGCGGGAGTCCGTGCTCCCGGCTCACGCGTGGCCTCTGGTGGGACCACTTGGTGCTGTAACGCCGTTCATGGGGATACACTCCTCCTCACGCTGGGGCCCATGGCCCCATGTCCATCCACATGGCCCCAGCCCGGAGCCCTTGTCCCCCACCTCTGATCTGACGAGTCAGGCCCCCGACCAGCCCTGAAGACTCTGGGCACTGCCACCGAATCTGTCAGTGTTCTCTGCTGGGCCGTGTTCTGGCTCACACGGCGCGTGCCACCGGGGGCTGGGAGTCCCATCCACTGGGAAGACATGCGTCTCACCTCAGCTCCAGCTCAGCTGAAGATCCAGAAAGTACCGCCCCTGTGCCCTGTTCTCTTGAAAGGGCTTCATTTCTTACAACCGGCTGACGCAGGCATTGCTTATTTACCACCTTATGCTCGCCTCCTTCCATTAAGACAATGTGGTGTGGTGCTCGATACATAGTAGGTGCTCAGGAAAACCTTGTGGAATGGATACATGAACAAATCGATCGATCAGTCGGTGGGTGAATGATCTCCTATGTGTGGGGTTTGCATCTGGCTCGAGTTCGTGTGAACTTGCTCATGGCCTCTTTGTTGGGCCGGACATCTGGACACCCCAGGCCAGCTACTTCAACCACTGGACAAACTGGGGCACAGGCCACTCTCGGCAAGGGGCTTGGTGAGCCCAGGGAGGGGCCTGCTCTTGTCCCCAGCCCTCAGCCAGCCTTTCGCAGGGCCTTGGAGGGTTCTCTCCTTGGAGGTTCCCATCCAGGGACCTGGATACTCACCTCTTGGGACAGAACCCCCGGGACAAGGTACCCTGTGCATAGTCATCAGAGGACCTGCCTCACGCACCCCAAATTGCTCTGGCCAGGCTGGGCCCAGCCCAGAGGACATAAGGCTTCTGTCCAACCAAGGTCAAAATTGGCCTCAAGGGCCTTGACCTTAGAACTAGGCCAAAAGTGTGGCTGTTAAGTGAGGGACCTCTGGCCTCATGTGACCTTGGGCAGGAACCTTCAGTTCTATCTACCTTTGAGGGCAAATGGGAATTAATGAGGCCATGCATGTAAATGCCAGTAGGAGGCGCTCACCGGCCTTGGCCATGGTCACTCTCAACCCTTGGCCCTCCCTCTCCTGATGGACTCAACTTACAGAGGAAGATCTCCACCTCGGAAAAACACATAACTCCTTTGAGTCACATAGCTGTTCACCCTAGTGCCAGGGTCTGAACTGAGTCCATGCCCCCTCCAGCTACTGTGGGGACAAAGACTGCCAGGGAAGTCTCCAGAGCATTGACAGTCACAAGGACAACCATGGCCAGCCTCACCAAGACTTCAGAGGGGCTGCCCTCGACATGGACTTCCCCTTGACCTGGCCCTCCGTCCTGTACGGTAAGCAACATGTCGTCCCCTTTCCAATGGGGACGAGGCTGGGAAGGAGGCTCCCAGCTAGTGAGAGAGAGCCAAAGCCCCCCTCCAGTCCCCATCAAACTCCATCTCCCAAGGCCAAGGGTAAAGGGCACCCACACAGCACTGTCCTGCCAAAGCCAGCCTTGTGCGGTTGGGGAAGAGCAGGGCTTGGGGGATCCACTCAGCAGGGAGCTGCTTGCGGAGCAGGTGGGGAGGCGGGCAGAGTCCTGACTCAGGTCCAAAGGTGCAGGAGAACTTGGCGGCGGATGGCACTGACGGGGTCCAGCGGCAGCCGGCTGCTCCAGAAACTCTCCACATGGCTGGTCTCACCACCAACTAGCTGCCTGGTCCCGGCACAGCCCTGCCCGCCAGGCGCACTGGGGTTCGGTGAGGGGAAGCTGGGGAGCCCGAAAGAGGAACAGTGCTCGCTGGTGGAGGGGAGGCGCTCAGAGAACGCTCCTGGGAGGAGAGCGGAAGCCCCGCACACCTCCTCCACCACAGGCTGTGAGAAGCCACAGAGTAGTGAGTCTGCCGGGGCCAAGGTCTGGGGTCTCTTGAGGGCTCCCGAAGCTGCAGCTCTGAGGAGGGTTAGAGCGAGCCTAGCCTCCCTCACTTCCCAAAGTTTCTGAAGTATGTCTTAGGGCTAGGGAAAGAGATGGGTCCCCGCGTGATCAGGAAGCTACTGTAAGTACGGGGGTGCCTGTGTGTGCCGTCCGGACGGCAGCCCCTTCCCCCACCCTCGCTGCCCCCACCCCCCGCACGCAGACTCGCCCATTTCTGTCCTCGAGGCTTCGGCAGATGTGCGCCGCTGGAGACAGAGCAGAGAGTCGCTGCTTTTCTCTCCCTCGGGCACTGTTCCCTGGCTGTCTGCTGTCTGATGTGTGTGTGTCTAACTGCCGTTCGTGGGTCCCCAGCCTGACGCTGGGTGGCTGTTTCCCTGGTCTGTGGGTGTCTGTGTGTCTGCGTGTGGGCGCATCTGTCTGTCTCGCTGTGAGTGTCTCCTGCTGACTCTGTCCTTGACCCTGCCTATCTGAGCGTGTGCGTCTGGGGGGGAGGGGGTGCTCCCTCCCGCCGCCTCTCCTCCCCCACCCCCTCCTGCAAGCGCTAACGCAGCCGCAGCAGCTGCTGCCTTGGCTGCGCCCGAACGAAGCGCAGTGACCTCGCCTGTCCCTGCAGCAGTGACCGCCTCACTGTGCTGTCAGCAGGGGGAGGGGTCCATGGCTGGGCTCTGAACCTCTGGCCTCTCCCCCCTCAACCTGGTGCCGCCTGAGCCTCCAAGTGCTCCCTTGCCGGCTGGGTCCACTGGCTCCCCATCTTCCCTTATGTAACTCCACAACTGTCTGTGCCTTGCAGGTCACCCTAGACCCTGCGCTGGGCTCTACCCACCGGCCGACTGAGACCCAGAGTCTCATGCATATAGGGGCTGGAGCAGACCCCTGGCCAGGGCCCCGGCTCTCGGAGACCCCTCCCATCCTTTCTCCGTGGGACGGTCCTTCCCGTGAAACCCGCTTGCCTGGAGCATGACAGGAGGAGGGGTCCCGCGGGGCAAGTTGCCCCGAGCGCAGGACAGGCGTACCCCCCCGCCTTCGTTTCAGGCCCCCACAGTCGTCCCGGCTCCCGACAGGGCCGGCCAGGGTCACCGGGGTTGAGGGCGCGGGTTCAGGCTCGGCGGCCCGGGTCCCGGCTCCTGCGTGCGCGGGCCGGCCGGCAGCAGGCGCGCCCCCCGCCCCGGCGCCCGCCTGCTCGCGCCGGGCTCTCCGCCAGCCGCCGAGCGCTCCTGGCTGGGGCTCCGGCGGCCCGGCGGGCACGCGGCGCTGTCCGTGGTGCTGCCGGCGCCGGGCGGGGCGGGGGCGGGGCGGGGGCGGGGCGCGGGCGGCAGCCAATGGCGGGGGCGCTGCGCGGGGCGCGGGGGGCGGCGAGCTGCGCGCGGGGCGCACTCGGCTGCGCGCTGCACTCGGGGCGCACCGGCGCTCTGGCGGCGGCTCTGGCTCCCGCTCCGCTCCGGGTCCGCTCGGGCTGTAGCGGTCGTGCCGCTGGCCCCTTTCGGCTCGGATTCCGGCCCGAGCCCCCTCGGCGCCGCCAGCCCCGGCCCCGTCCCGGGCCTCGGCGCCCGCGGACCATGCGCCGGGCACCCCCCAGGGAAGCCCGCCGGGCCGAGAGCCCTCAATCACCAGGCTCCCGGGCCGGGGCCCCTCCCGGCCGCCCGGCCGGCGGTCCGCGCCCTGCCCCGCGCCCCGGCGCCTCCTGAGCCGGCGGGTCATGGAGCGCACGCCGCCCGACGGGCCGCTGAACGCGTCGGGGGCGCTGGCGGGCGAGGCGACGGCCGCGGGCGGGGCGCGCGGCTTCTCCGCCGCCTGGACCGCGGTGCTGGCCGCGCTCATGGCGCTGCTCATCGTGGCCACGGTGCTCGGCAACGCGCTGGTCATGCTCGCCTTCGTGGCCGACTCGAGCCTCCGCACCCAGAACAACTTCTTTCTGCTCAACCTCGCCATCTCCGACTTCCTCGTGGGTAAAGCCCCCAGCCCCCGCCCGAGCCCAGGAGTGTCCAGCCTGGCCCGACCAGCAGGGATTGGAGCGTGGACCTAGGGTGCCTCTTTGCTCGGGCACACGGCCCCGCCAGGGAGCCCTATTTGGGGAGGGGGCGTCCGGGACCCGTGGGGCGGTGGGTGCGGGCGAAGTTCCTTGCCTCCCCCACCCGGGACCGGGGCTAGGGAGGGACGTTCCTCGGGAAGGGGCCCGGGCGGGCGGGCGAGCGGGCGCGTGGCGAGGCGCAAGGCGCAGCGGCCCCAGGTGCGGCGCTGGCTCCTGCGCCGGAGCCAAACAAAGGCTGCCGGCGGACTCAGGACGTGCGGAGGGCGCTGGGAGAGGTTTGGGGGAGGGGAAATGGAAGGGAGTTTTTGAGCCGTGTTGGGGGAGGGGGCGTGGGGGAAGCGGGGTGGGGGTGGGGGAGGTGTTCGGAAGAGCGCGCTCTCACGTGTCCGCGCGCTGCTGCCGGCTTGGGGGCGGGGCGCGCGGAGGGGGCCCGAGCGCCAGACACCTGTTGGGGCTGCTAGGTGCGTCTGCCAGACACTGGGCGGTGGGAGCGGCTGGCGCGGCGCAGCCAACTGCCCTTTGAGTCAGGAGAAGGGCTTTCTGGCTTTCTGAGCTGATGAGGAAGGGCTGTGCGAAGGCCGGGTTAGGGGCTGGGGTCCAGCAGGCGGAGGAAGAGAGAGGAGATCCTCCGGCCTCCCTCTGGGGCCGGGGAGGACCGCACAGACGTGTGGAAGTACCGAGTCAGGGCTCCGGGGTCACGGTGTCTGGAGGCCCCACCTCTGGATCTCCCCTCCTACCCCCAAGTCCAGGGGACGCCAGCAGGAATGGAGGCGAGGCAGGGGGTGAAGGCCAGTCCCAGGGTAGAGGGTGTGCCTAAGAGACAGGGTGGAGGGGAGGGCAAGGTCAGGGTTGCTGGTCCCAGGAAAGTGGCCGCTGTACGACCCCGGGTCCTGCCTATCTCCCCATGGTGGTGGGTTTGACCCCAGGCCCCTGTCCAGCCGTGGCCCAACGTGGCCCTACTCTCCCGCAGGGGCCTTCTGCATCCCACTGTATGTGCCCTATGTGCTAACTGGCCGCTGGCCCTTTAGCCGGGGTCTCTGCAAGCTGTGGCTGGTGGTGGACTATCTGCTCTGCACCTCGTCGGTCTTCAACATTGTGCTCATCAGCTATGACCGCTTCCTGTCAGTCACCCGCGCCGTGAGTCTGGGTCGCTGGTGTCCGCGTTCACTCCTGGGAGGAGGGGTGGTCAGGAAGTGGCCACGGCAGAGAACGGCCACTTCCCAGTTGTGGGCAGTCCCGGGGGGCTTGGTCTCTGCCGGCCTCACCCCTGACACAGGGCACGCTGTGGCCAGCTGCCCGCTCAGTGGCCGTTTGCTGCCAGGAGGGCTGGTCCCGGGACGGGCAGGAGGCATGTCCGGACCTGGCGTCGGTGGTGTCCCTGAGGGAACGGGGGCAATTGAGCCTCCACCCTGGAGCGGGTCCAGAGTCCGGAGGGCTGAGGGAGGGTCTGGGCCAGAGGCCGTCGGTGGTACCCTCCCCATCGTGTGCGTGTGCACAAGTGTGTGTGCATGTGTGCACGATTGTGCCCCAGGAAGTCAGGCATCAGCTTCTGTCCCCATAAGCTTTTCCTGGTGTGAGTAGTCACTGTGAGGTAGGGACAGTTCCCGCGTCAGGGCCAGGCGGGCACAGGGGTGGCGGCCGGAGTGCCCGGTCACCCTCTTCTCCGAGGTGGCTCTGCCCGTCACTCTGAGTGCCCTCTGCTGGGTCCACACGTGTCCCGGCCTCGAGGCCGTGGGACAGGGCTCAGAGCAGGGGCTCAGGGGTCCCCTTGGGCCAACCCACCCGTGGTCTCCGCCTCTCCCTGAGCCACCGGGGGAGGACGCTGTTGGGCAGCGCGCACGAGATGCCCAGCGGGTGCCGAGCACAGCGCCTGGCGCAGCGGGTGCGCGGCGGGCCGGGGAGGGCGGCAGGCCCCTGCCCGGGGCGCCCGCGGCTGGCGGGGGCAGCACACCAAAGCAGCCTGGCACAAAGTTAGCGATCGGGATTGATCTGAAAGAGGTCGCATGACGGTCGGGCAGCGAGACCCCTGTGGGGAGCGGGGAGGGGAGGGAGGCCGCGCACAGAGGTCCCCCCCACCCCCCGCCCTCCTGACCCAGCGTGTCCTGGCAGGTCTCCTACCGGGCCCAGCAGGGCGACACGCGGCGGGCGGTGCAGAAGATGGTGCTGGTGTGGGTGCTGGCCTTCCTGCTGTACGGGCCGGCCATCCTGAGCTGGGAGTACGTGTCCGGCGGCAGCTCCATCCCGGAGGGCCACTGCTACGCCGAGTTCTTCTACAACTGGTACTTCCTCATCACGGCCTCCACGCTCGAGTTCTTCACGCCCTTCCTCAGCGTCACCTTCTTCAACCTCAGCATCTACCTGAACATCCAGAGGCGCACCCGCGTCCGGCTGGATGGGGCGCGCGAGCCCGAGCCCCCTCCCGAGGCCCAGCCCTCCCCCCCGCCGGCCGCGCCTGGCTGCTGGGGCTGCTGGCAGAAGGGGCGCGGGGAGGCCGTGCCGCTGCACAGGTACGGGGGCGGGGCAGGCGAGGCGGCCCCGGGCACTGAGGCGGGGGAGGCGGCCCTCGGCGGCGCCGCGGCCTCGCCCACCTCCAGCTCCGGCAGCTCCTCGCGGGGCACAGAGCGGCCTCGCTCGCTCAAGCGGGGCTCCAAGCCCTCGGCGTCCTCCGCGTCGCTGGAGAAGCGCATGAAGATGGTGTCCCAGAGCATCACCCAGCGCTTCCGGCTCTCTCGGGACAAGAAGGTGGCCAAGTCGCTGGCCGTCATCGTGAGCATCTTCGGGCTCTGCTGGGCCCCATACACGCTTCTGATGATCATCCGGGCCGCCTGCCACGGCCGCTGCGTCCCTGACTACTGGTACGAGACGTCCTTCTGGCTGCTCTGGGCCAACTCGGCCGTCAACCCTGTCCTGTACCCGCTGTGCCACTACAGCTTCCGCCGAGCCTTCACCAAGCTGCTCTGTCCCCAGAAGCTCAAGATCCAGCCGCACAGCTCCCTGGAGCGCTGCTGGAAGTGAGCCGCCCTCCGTGGGCCCCGGGATGCCGGGTGGGCCCTCCTGCCCTCCCCCGTCCAGGCTCTGGTCTCCTGCGCGGTCGGCCACGCCGCCCCCCAGCCGGCCGCCCCCAGGTGTGAGCCACGCCGAATCTCCCGCCCGCCCTACATGCCACGGCAGAGTCTCTCAGACCGTCCGCCTGCAGTGGAGGCAGCTTGGGGGGCCCAGCCAGAGCGGCCCTTTGCTGCCCCAACCAGAACGTGGTCGCCACCCGCCGGCTCCGCCCCGGGAGGAATAATCCCAGCCCCGCCGCCCACGCCCCACAGACTGTCTGGGGGCCGGTGGTGTCCACCCTCTTGCACACGTGCTGCTTGGTGTCCTTTCCAAAGCAAGTGATCGGTGTGTGCTCTGGGCCTCGTGAGCGGTCTGCCCCTGCACCTGCACACACCTGCGTACGCCCCCCCGGCACCCAAGCCCAGGCCACTGGCTCCGCTGCTGTCTGTCCCCTGCTTGAGCCCGGGCCCTGGCCCCCTCCAAGTCTCTACGCCTCCAACGTGTCAAGTGCCCCCCGGGAACCGCGGCCGTTCTCTGCCCTTCCATTCTGGGTGTTTCAGGAAGACGAAGAAGAAAGCACGTCTGTGAACTCCATGTTCCTTGGCTGTTTAATCAAGAGAGACAAAATTGCTGAGGAGCTCGGGGCTGGATTGGCAGGTGTGGGCTCCCACGCCCTCCTTCCTCGTGCTGCTGCTTCCGGCTGAGCTGCGCCAGCTGCTTCTGCCCACCCCGCCCCCGGGCTCGGGGTGCTGGGCCCTGCCTGGCGGCTCTGAGAGCGGCCGGAGCCCCGGACGCCTGCTTGTCGGAAGGCCACCCCTCCTGCTCCGTCTGCTCCGCCAGCTTCCTTGGGCTGAGGAGGGCGGGGGGGGGGGCCGGCCGTGGCCGTGAGGGGCCCAGGGCAGCCCCCGGGCACCGGGGCCGGGAGGCCCAGCGGAGGGGCCGTGGGCCACGCCCCGTGCACCCCGTCGGCGCTGTGCATGCCTGCTCCCTGCGTGCCCGCTGCGCTGCCCTGCAGACTTCGAGGTCCACAGTAAAGTGTATTTTTTTATTGGTGCTGATTCCTGAGGACTTCCTGGGGGGGGTGGGCTGAGCTCCTGTACTTCGGTCGGGACCCCGGGGGTCCCCAGGACCACTCGGCAGGGGGTGAGGAGCGGATGGGGAGAAAAGGCTGGCCTGGCCTGTCATATCCGGTTCGATCCCATCAGGGACACGCAGCGGCCCCCACCCACGAACACCTGTTCGGGAAGGCCGCACGGAGCTGGGAGGGGCTCGCTCGAGGGGGCTCGAGAAAATGGCCCACAGCCCCGCCCCCGTGCGACCTTCCCCACCCCCAGGACCAGGGTTCTCCTGTCCCTGGATCTTCCACCTGGCAAGCGACCAGGGGCCCTGGGGACGAGCTGAGCTCAAGGGGTGGAGGGGAAGGGATGGGCCCGAGGAGGGGAGCCCGTCCTCTACCTTGGATACGAGTGTCCTGGGCAAAGGCCTGGAGGCGGGACTGAGGGAGACAGATGGGAACAGAAGAGGGTGGCTCCGGGGGAGCCTGGGTCCCGTGAGTCCCTGCGTCCGTCATGACGGGGCAGAGCCTGTTCCCACCCCAAGTGCTCAGAGGCCACTGGGAAGGGGGCCAAGGCCAGCACGGCTTAGGGGAGATACAAGATTGGGGGTCGGAAGCCACCTCCTCCAGGAAGCCTTGCTTCCTTTCAGCCGCTAGAGCCCTCCCTCCCCTGATCTCATGCTCTCTCCCCACCACGTGGGCTCTACTTCCGCAGCACTTCTGACCCCTTCCCTTCTTCCCCACGGCAGACACAGCCTGTCTCTTACAGCCACGCCACGGGGCCCTCGGCACGGTCAGCAGGCTCTGATTGTCTCCACTGCAGGATGAGGCTGCTCACAGCAACGTCTCGAAGGCTTCCTCCTCCAGACACCTCACCCCACAGCTACACAGGCATCTTCCTTTCCCGAAACCCCCCGGAGACCTCCTCCCGAGCCCTAAGCCGGCGCCCCCTTCCTCCACACTCTCAGGAGACGTCCCCTCCTTGGTGGCCAGAGGGCAGGACCAGCCTGGGGGCTGGGCGCTGTCCTGAGTGGAGGTTGGAGTGGGGGCTGCAGGGGGAGAGGTGGCAGAGACAGTGGGCACCGCCCTCTGCGGAGCTCGGGGCTCGGGGCAGCCCTCGTGGCTCTGGACGGCCTGCGCCCTGCCCAGAGGCCAGCCCAGCGGGCTCCCTGCTGGCCCCGCGGCCCAGAGCTGTCCAGGGAAAGACAAAGAACCCGTCGTCTGCAGCGGTGGGCGCCTCGCTGCCCGCAGCACAGCCAGAGCCCTGGCCGCCCCTCCGCCCAGCTCTGCTAAATGGCTACAAATTGGAGGATAAAAGCGCAGGCTTTCAAGCAATTTTGTCTTCAGTCTCTGGAAACCGCTGCTCCCCGAGCTCCTGCGCGAGGCTGGAGGAGGAGAGAAGAAAGACACCGAGTTTATTGGGCCTGAGTCCTGCAGCAAACAAACACGCCAAGGGGGCCGTTCTTGGACTTGGGCGCGCTGGGAGGGGGGACCAAGCCAGGGGGCCCGGGGCGGGAGCGGCTGCTGCTGCGGGGGCTCGCCCACGCCAGCGGCTGCTGTTTATTGAGTACCTACTGTGTGCCAGGCACCGTCAGGGGTGCCGGTTGGCCGAAAGGCAGAGCGACAACCAGCTGACTAACGGGCATTTCCACGGGGACCGAGGACTGCAGGGGACGTAAACGGGGCAGGGGCTGGAGAGGGGGGCGGCCGGCGCGCTGGCCGGGGGCTGGGAGCCTGTCTGAGGGGTGGCGGTGCACGCGTTCACAATACTCACCGACGCCGGTGGCGGGGCGCTCCAGGACCCCACAGGGACCAAGCCTGAGGCCCGAAGGAAGGGTGTGCAGGTGAAGGGGTGCCCCCTGGGAACAGGTTCCGGGCACCGTGCGGGGGGAGGGCCCCTCCCAAGCTGGGGTGAAGACCCTATGTTTTCAGCGTGCCGTGCAGGCAACTCCTGCCTTCCTACAAAAGGCCAGCTTACGCAGTGTTTCCTCTGGGGAGTCAGGGCCATGGCAAGGGATGGCTGGGGCCCCTCCAGCCCTGGAGCCCGGCCGTGAGGGGGCGTCGTGGGGCCGTCTGTCCTCCGCCCCCAGCCCTCCTCACACCCATGGCTGGGCTTGTGGGTGCAAAGGACCTTTTGCAGCAACACTTGCTGGTGCCCCTCTGTCCTCACAGCCAGCCCACGAAGGGGGGCTCCTGTTCTCCACTCGGCAGTTGTGGGAGTCAGGGCTCCGGGGACAGGGAGACCCACCCCACATCTCAAACCCAGCACACAGCAGGGGCCGGGACTCCACCCTCCCACTCCACTGGGGTCTCCCCTGGGCACCACGGGGCTTGGTTTGTCTGGGGCGGGGGCCTCTGGGGAGCCTTGGAACCGGACCCCAGCGCTGTTGACCTGAACGCAAGCATGTGTAGGGTATCTGCTGTTCGAGCTCTGCTGTGTGTGCACAGGAGCCGGGAAAAGTCACCCCTCCTGAGCCAGCAAGGAGGGCAGAGCAGGGAGGAGAGGCGGGGTGGGCTGCGGACTCGGAAGGCCCAGTGCCCGGCGCCCCGGCCGCCCAGCTCGCCCAGACGCTCTGCGTGGAGGCTGCGGCCCCAGGTGTCCCAGGGTGTCCAGCCCTTTCTCCTTCCTGTCCCAGTAGGTCCGAGGGCCCGGCAGGGGCTCCTGGGCCTCAGTTTCTTCCTCTGCAGAATGGGGTCGGTCCTGGCTCGGTGGGGCGTTGCTGAGTGGAGCAGGGGTCCCTGAGGCCCCCTCCCTCCCCGACTCTGCCCGCCCGTCATCACAGAAACGGCCCCATCGCCCATGCTGTGTGCCCTGCACCTCGCGGGTAGCGCTGTGCTCACCAGGGCCTCCCGGCCCCCAGCAGGCAGGCTGGCCTGAGGGCTCCATGGGGTCCCCCCTGCCCTGGCGCCTGGAGGCCTCGCCGCCGCCCCCTGTGGGAATGAGCCTGGGATCTGGGCCTGGCTGGATGGGCCACTTACCGGCCATGGGGCCTCGGCCCCTCCAGCTCTAACAGCCCCTCACAGGGGCTGCACGTGATGGACACCTTGTCCCTGACACCTGGGGGGGTGGGCCTGGCCCTCCAGTCCTCATGGCATGGCCGGTGATGGCGACCCGCAGGGGGCCGTCCAGGAGCAGGGATCCTATAGGAGGGGTCGGGGTCAAGGCTCAGGGTCAAGTCCCACAGGGGCCTGAGTTTCCTCTGGCGGACACAGGACGGCCAGCGGGGGTGGGGGCGGAGGAGGCAGGGACTGGGCTCCAGCAGGTCAGGACCAGGGCAGCGGCGGCCTGAGGCTGGAGAGGCCTAGGGGGGAGGCGTAGCCGTGGGGCCGGACTGCTCCCCGCTTTCACACTCCCTGGGCTCCAGGCGCCATTCGAAACCCGCTTCTCACCGCCACTCATCTGGTCCTCAGCCGGGCGAGGGGCTCCTGTTCCGTTTTACAGGTGAGGACACCGGGGCACACAGAGGTTGAATGACCTGCTCAAGGTCACACAGCTAATGAGTGGCCGACCTGGTGCCGGCTTCCTCCGGTGACCACTCTCCCAGCCCTCAGGGGCACCTGGTGCCCCTCAGAAATGCACACAGGCGTCTGGCCCCGCGGCCCCTTCTCCTCTGGGGACCCCCTTCACTCTAGCGGGTCCTGGGGCCTGGCCCCACCCACGGGCTGCAGGGCGGGTGCGGGGCTGGTGAGGCTGCTCGGAATCCCCGTGACAGGTTGGGGTAGCGCACCCCTCAGCCCCGGGGGGGGGGGCAGCAGGGCGGCGACCTCGGCCGGGATTCGGGGAGCACGTGTTCCTGCAGCCGGGTTGCGGGCCTGGCGGCCTCCAGCGCTGTCCCCGCGGAGGCTGCTGCAGCCGAGCCACAGGGAAGCCTAGTCAGACACTGGCAAGAGGCAGCTTCCTGGCCGGTGTCCCAGCGCCTGGACCTCCCTGGTTCACGAGTCACCAAGTACCCTTTCCCTCCTCCAGCTGACACAAGGTGGGGTTTTGCAGTGCGATGTCCTGAAAGTGTCCTATCCAGCAGTACTTGGCCTCGGCCAGCATCCCTCTGTCCCCGGGGCAGCAGAGCATTCCTGCCCATGGGCGGTCTGTGTCTCTGATTAAGAAAAAATGGGCAAGTGAATCAGTTATTTAGTAAAATAAGAATTAGCTGTGTGTAATGGTCATGGGTAGGAAAGCAATCTTTTTTTTTTTTTTTTTAATTTTAGGGGGGGAGAGAGAGAGAGAGCACAAGAAGAAAGAGGGGCAGACGGAGAGTGAGAGTCCCAAGCCCTGACTTGGGGCTTGATCTCGTGACCCTGAGATCATGACCTGAGCTGAAATCATGAGTCTGATTGTCAACCGACTGAGCCCCCCAGGCGCCCCAGAAAGCAATCTTTTAACGCATAAGTCAGGAGGCTGAGGCCACAGGCCCGTGGTCTCCTGCCCCCCAGGGAAGCAGGCAGCTCGCTGTGAAATGTCTGAAATGAACTTCTCAGAGGGGCCACCAAATACAAGAGCCCTCCCTTACCTGTGGGGACCCCGTTCAAGACCCCCACGGAGGCCCGAAGGCGTGGGGGGCACCAAGTGTTTTCCTTGACACACACGCTCGTGGCCAAGGGTGGTTTATAAAGCGGGCGCGGCGGGAGAGTCACGCCAACTAAGGCTGAAACGGCACTCGGAACCATGTGCTGGGGTCCTCGGGTGGGACTGCGCTCTCGCTGGGAAGACACCTCCCTGTCCTGTGCTCGGCCTCCTCGTGACCGCGTGACAGGGTGAGACGCCTGCACAATGGGACGGATGTCATGTGACGGACGCGCATGTGACGCGGCGCCAGGCTGCACCTGACCTGACCTCGTGAAGGGGGAGGGTCCTCTGCTTCCTGCGGGGAGCCTGACCGCCACTCGGAGTGACTACTGTATCCCTCACAAGAGAAAGAGAAGGGAGAAAGGCGAGGACGCTTTTGGGTGTAAGGAGAGGAGGTGGCGGACTGCGCGGGGCTGCAAACGCATCTGTGACACACCAGTCACACCAGTTTCCAAATTCAAACATGACAAATTTCATGATCTTTAAATGCTTCTACTTTAAATGCTGATGATCTTTAGAGAGTCCAGCACACCCTGGTTCCTTGCTGATGTGTAGGAGTTGGGGCAGCTCAGTACACAGGGAAGAGCCTGCCTTCTGCCCTCCTTCCTAGGCCCCGGCCTGGGCCGGCTCCCCAGCTTCACAGACCCATGTCCTCCTGGGAAGCCAGGGGACTGGGCAGACGGGCAAGCTCTCCCTGGCGCCTCCAGGGCCCACAAGCTTTCTTTGTCAGCTGAGGCTCTGCTCTGTCCTGCTCCCAGTCCCACTGACCTATTAATTCATACTAAAGTGTGATGGCCTACCCAGGAAAAGCTAGAGATTTACATTTAAACAGACGGCATTCTTTAAGTCCAAGTGAGCCAAATTCGAATGCAGGTATTTCAGAGAGGACCACACAGAGTGGATGAAGGAACGGCATCAGTGAACTTTCTTGAGCTCCTGCTACCTGCTGGGCTTTAGACACTGATTTTACCAAGGATTCTAAATCTATCCAGCTGGGGGGTCAGAGACCTTGGACGAAGCCCCTCTGATGGTGTAGTGTTTCTGTGCGGGCCACCAGGCTATGGGAACCTATTGGGGTCACATGGATATTTCCTGAGATCAGAACGGGGCCCTTTGAGATGCCTTCTTTGGTCATCTGTGGACCCCGGACATTCCTCAGTGCCCCTGTGAGCCAGCTGGGACTGGGGCGGCCCAGGCTGGCTCCTCGGAGTCACATGGGAAGGCGTCCACCATCTCTGGGAGCGTAGCTGCTGCTGAGGCCGTCCAGGTGCACGGCGGGGGGTGGGGGTGGGTGGCAGCCAGGGCTGTCCTAGCCCATGCGGGTGGGGGAAGCGACTTAGAACATGCCCTTCTCGGTGGGGGTCTGGTCCGGGCTCCTGGGGGAATTTTCTGCCTCTCCCCTCCTTACCCTCCAGGGCCTCCCTGGAGGACAGGGGGACAGCAGAGTGTGAGCTAGGCAGGCCTGGGGGCCAGTGTGGGCAGAGGCAGAGGCGGGGAAGGGGGGACAACATGGAGGGTCTGCACCTGCTTCTGGCCTTGGCTACAAGCCTGCAGCCTCCCTCCCGCCTGCCAGAGGCTTCCCTCTAAGAGGCTGGAAGAAGGCGGAGCCCTAGGCCAGGGGGTGGGGGTGGGGCTGCAGGGGTGCCCCGCTCCCCTCCAGCCCTCCCTCCAGGCACCAAGCTTTGTGTCCGCCCCCCCCCCCATGGTCCCCCTTCCCACACCCCCTCACTTAGGGCAGGCAGATAAAAGACAGCAGCCCGTGCTATCTGGATTTCAGATCTGCAACAGATAATGCTTTAGCGTAAGTGTGCGGAGTTCTTTGTTGTGGATCTGAAATTCAAATCAACACATCCAACCCTCCCAGTCCCTTCTCAGGGAGGAGGCTCTGGGGGAGGGGATGCAAGGGAGGGCCCAGCTCTAAGGAGCCACCCAGCTCTGTGGAAAGGACAGGGTGGTTGGATCGGTGGGGGTGCTGGGGGGGTGTCGGCCCATGGCCTGGACCCCTGGATGTGCTCCCTGGAGCACCCTGGGTGGGGCTGACGTGGACAAGAGTTAAGACGCCCAGGCTGTGCCTGGGGAGATTGGAGGCCTGCGGATTGTGGGATGACTAGGTACGTGTGGGTGACGTCTGTGTGACTCTGTGTGGCCTGTGTGGCACTGTGCACGCTGGGCCAGGTGGCCTGGGGGCCCCCTGCCCCATCTGGCCTTTCAGAAGCCTGGAGCGATGCCGAGGTCAGAGCCCCAGTGCGCACCATCGGGAGCAGGCCGAGCCCGCGGGTCCCGAGGACCTTCTGCCCCCGCACCCGTTTAACCCGTTTACCCTCGTCGTGCCTTGGAGTCGGGAGGGACATTCCCTGCAGGAGCCTGACGCCCAGGGGTCGCTATGTGTCCTTTCAGCCTTACATGTCTGCTCTCAACACTTCTGAGGAGCGCCAGGCCTGGGGACAGCGGGGTCTCCCGTCTGCACGGACTTCATCACAGAGCAGCGGCTTCTCCAGCGTCTTTTCTGCTTTCCCTTCTCGTTGGAGCCTGTTGTGGCTTCACACGCGATTGTAAGAAACATCGCGGATCCCACGTGCCTCACCTGGTTTCCCCTAGGGAGCCGCGTGCGGGACGGCGGAGCGGCACCCCAGCCCGCGGGCCACCTGCACTCGGGTGCGTGAGCGTGGGGCGGGCACCCGGTTAGCTCCCTCACGGTACCAGGCAGTCACACTGCACCTGTCACTGCCGTCCAGCTCTCCTCTTTCATCTCCCAGGCTGAACATTGCTACCCGTGAAACACTAAGTTCTAGGAGGTTTTACCGCCTGTGCAGGTTCCTGTCGCAACAGTAGAGACACAGGACAGCTGTCACGGGGACCCCTCGTGCAGCCCCCAGGGCCCTGAGCACTACCTGTCTGCCACCCCTTGGAGCAGGTCTTCAGGTGCACGGTTGAAACACAACCCCACTCGTGGTCTGGGGGGTGGAGTGCAGGGTCCGGTTTGCTCCTGAGTGTCACTGAGCGGAGCCCTCTGCTCGGTGGCCTTCTGTGCCATGCCCCAACACGTATACACGGTCCTCATGGGCACCCACATCAGAGATGTCTGTTGTCAGTGAGCCCCGTGGGGGCAGGAGTCGCTGCACAGCCAGGGGGGCACACGAGCAGAGACAGGCTGGCAAGGCCCATGGAGGGCACGCAGGGGAGGGCTGTCCTTGATGGGGTGCCCGGGAAGGCCTCCCCAATTTCACGGGGTACCTGGGGAAGGGCATGTGGACCACAGGGAGCGCTTAGTGTGGCCCAGAAACAGCTGGAGCTGGGGGGAGGGGCAGCACGAGCAGCCGGGCCAGGGGAGGAGGGGGCTTTGCTGGGGGGGGGGAGAGGAGGGGGCCCAGAGCGGGCTGGAGAGGGTCTGGGGTGTGCAGGGGCCACACCACGCACACTGCTGGGTGGGTAGAGGGGAGCCTGGCACCCTGTAAAACACACACGATGTCAAGGTAAAAAGGGCGCTATCCTGGTTTGACGAGCCACCTCCTCATTCACGTACAGCAGAACCTCAGGATATGACCTTATTTTTCGATTTGGAAATAGGTTCCTTGCAGACAGAATTAAAGATCTCAGAATGAGGCCGTCCTGGCTCAGTGTGGGCCCTAAGTCCAGTGACTGGTGTCCTCAGAGGATGAGGGGACACAGAGAAGCCATGTGACTGCGGGGGCACACCGGGGGGCATGGTGCCAGCCCAGGACACCGGAGGCGGGGGGGGGGCAGGATCCCACCCTAGGCCTCCCGAGGGGGCACTGCCCTGCCCGCGCCGTGACAGTGGACTTGGGGAACTGGGAGGGAATGAGGTTCTCGCTGTAAGCCCCCAGCGTGTGGCCTTTGTCACTGGACCCCCCCCATCCCCAGCCCCCTCCCCTCTCAGGAGGGAGCTCGCGTCCTGCTGGAGCAGATCTGCTGCATCCCCACCGCACCTGGGCTGCCTGCCAGATGGCTGAGCTGGACGCACCGGGAAGATCAGAGTCTCAGGGCTCCTGGATGGAGAAGCCCCGCCTCCGGCTCCCTCCGCACCCGAGCTGCACGCCGGTGTGGACCGCAGCCCCACATCCCGGGCTTGGACCCGCGGTGCGGCCGGGACCCCGTGCGGGCAGTGCGGGCGACGTGTTGTTGCCTCACCTGGGCCCGCTGCCTGCCAGCAAGCCGGCTGCGGCTCGGTCACACGCGGGGCCCGCGGAAGCTGCAGCTGGAGGTGTGTCGGTCTCTTCCGCACATTCTGCAGGTTAGGACAGGTCGCCGGGCAGCCCAGGCTGAAGGCCGGGACAGTCACCTCCTACGGGACGGGGCCGGGCGGGGCGGGACAGGCGGCACGAAGCTGCAGTGCTTCCACGTGCTGCCGCGCCGGGCTCCCAGCTCAGGGCGGGCGGCTGGCCTCCCCGTCCGCCTCCCGGCTCCCGCGCCCATCGCGCCCACCAGCCTGGGAACGGCGTGGGGACGGACGGGCCTCTGCAGACCAGGGAGGGCTGCCGGCTTCCCCGGAGGCCAGCAGGGCAGGGCCACCTCTCAGGGGGCGCAGGGCTGAGCGCACGCCGGAGCCTGGGACGTTCTCCGCAGCAAGCGGGTGCAGGGGCTCTGGAAGTGAGGGCGCCGGGCCGTAGGGCTAAAGGCGGGCGGATCTGGGAAACGCCACATCCTGAAGCTCAGGCCCCCGTCCTCACACCCACTTCCAGAGAGGCCACGAGGAACCAAGTGACAGCCACCTCAACGGAAGTGACGCGAGGGGAGAGCCTGAGGGGCAGCCTGCACAGGCCACGTGGGGACTGAAGGCGGAGGGCACGGGGGGACGGGTCCTCGGGGCGGAGGGCGGCCAGCCGCTGGAGCATCTGGGGGACGGAACCGCCGGTGAGGGACAGGGACAGTTATCCAGGGTGAACAGAAAACGAGGCAAGTGGCCCAGGGCAGAGATCAGCTCCAAGGGAAGTGACAGGCTGCACAGCGGGCAGGGCGCCTCGAGTCACAGCGGCTTCGCTGCCAGCCCCCCGTGTAGGTGCCAGATGGGAGGCGTGTCCCCGTTCCAGGGGCCAGTGCCTGACGACAGGGCTGGAAGAGGTGGCCCTGGTGTGTGTGGGGGGCGCAGCACTGTGGCCTCGGCCGCTCAGTAAGTCTTCCCGCCAACGATGTGCCTTTATAAGATATTTTCTTTTTTAAAAATATTCATTTATTTTGAGAGAGTGTGCGCACATGGGAAGGGGAGGGACAGAGACAGGAGAGAGTCCCAAGCAGGCTCCTCGCTGTCTATGCAGAGCCCGATGCTGGGCTCGATCTCATGACTGTGAGACCGTGACCTGAGCCGAGATCAAGAGTCAGATGCTCAACCCACTGAGCCGCCCAGGGGGGCCCTCAAGATATTTTCAAACGAAAAGAAACTTAAATGTACCTAATGTCACACACCATTCCTTTCTTCATTCCATAAATATTTATCAGAGCCTCTTCTGGGTCAGGCCCTGAGGCTGCTGGGGGCCCAGCCCAGAGCAGGGCAGACGCAGGGAGGCAGCCAGTGTCGCCCCTGCACGGGGTACCGCGTGTGTCGGCGCCCAGCCAGAGATGAAAGGCCATGATAATTAACGCTGCTCTACGAGGTCCTTTGTGGCGGCCCCAGGGAGAGCAGAGAGATCGCAAACTCATCTGTTTCCAGAACACAAGGACGTGGGAAATTCTGAGACATTAAAATAAAGCTTCAGGCAAAGGAGGCTGGCTCCAGTTGCAGGCGTGACAGCAGATCAGAACTGAATTGTTCCCGAAGGCTCAGGCTCAAGCTGATGATCACAGACACCCGGAGCCCAGCAGCCGGTGGCGGGGACCCTGTGGCTAGTCCCCTCACATGGCCCAGGGGCCCCTGCTCCCCATCACCTTAGGTCCACGTCCACTTTGTCCCTAAAGGGCCCTCAGGGCCGTGCCCTAAGCGTCAGACTTCATTTGGGGGGAGCACGCGTCTGCGCCCGCAGTTAATAAGCCACACGCGGCCGGGAGCCAGAACCCGCGGCCCTGGGTCGGATATTGGGTGCACTCGGTCGTGAAGCAAGCGGCGGCCACACAGCACAGCTCAGTCTGGGAACAAGGGGGAGGCGTCGCCCCTGCTGCTTCTCTCAGACGGGGGCACTTGAGAAGCGCCTCGCGCCTGCGGATGCGCCCGGGCCCCTCACCCTCCTGTCCCCTCCGTGGGGCATGCAGGCCTCTGGGGCGGGCACGGTGTGGGGGCTCCTGGGCCTGTGTCTCCCGCTCGGGGTCCCACGCGTGGTGTCCCGCTCGGCTCACCCAAATTCGGGTCACTTGGCCACAGTTGATGGCTGTGGGGTCCTCGCCACTGAGGGGCACTCGGCGACACGGATGAGGCTACCTCAGCCATCAGCACGGCGTCTGAGGTCCTGGCACGTCTGCTGGAGGGGGGCCAGCTGCCCGCGGAGGGCACGGCACCAGCGCTGCCGATTCTCGATAAGCACCTCTCGGTGTCTGCGCTGAGCTGGGGCCGCTCAGAGTCCACCCCGGGGCGGTGGCCCGGCTCCTACCCCCGAGCGGCCACGTGCTGGCCGTGGAGCTCCCGCAGCCGCATCAGCAGTGCCTCCACGTTCTCCCCGGTGGCCGCCGATAGCGCGATGGCGCCGGGGCCCAGGCGCGCCCGCAGCTGGGCCACGGCAGCTCTGGCCTCGGGGAGGTCGATCTTATTTGCCACGACCACGTGGGGTCGCTGCGACAGGCCGGCTTCGTGCTTCTCCAGCTCCCACTTCAGGTCCTCGAGCTGAGTCCACGGCTCTGGCTCCGACAGGTCCACCACGAACAAGAGGCAGCGGCAGCGCTCGATGTGCCTGAGGAAGGAGCTCCCCAGGCCCCTGCTCCGGTGCGCGCCCCGGACGATGCCCGGGATGTCGGCCACTGCAGGGGGAGACAGAGCGGGGGCTGCCTCTGGGGCCGGGTCTCCAGAGCGCCTGGACACGGATGTCGCCGGGGCCCATCGGGGCCGCCCGCCATCCCGGGCACCGAGGCTCTGAGCTGGGTATTCAGGGGACGGCGGGGGGAGGGGGGGAACGGGGGACAGGCACATGGGGGGCGGTAAGGAATAGTGAACACACGCACGCCGGCCTCTGGCTGTAAAAACGACGCGGATAAGGGGAAAAGAGCCTCCTGTCAACTATTAAGAGCTGGACTCTGACGGACATCATGATGAGCACTCGGCAAACAGAAACCTACGCAAGTAACATCAGCAGCAGGCTTACTATTTTTAATGGTACCTTACCTCCCGGGAAGAAGTTTCCTCCCCTCCGATTGGCGCGGGGAAAGCTTTCTAAGTCCCGTGTCACCTCTATGACAGGCCCCGAGGGGGGAGGCAGGCCTTCCTCGGGCCTGAGAGGCGCCCTTGGGCTCCCGAGCGCACCGCCAGGTGCCCGGCAAGAAGCGACTTCGCCAGGGGGTGCGGCAGGGCTGTGTGTGGGCCAGCCGTGCCAGGGCCACCTAATCAGGGCTCTGAAGGACACTGTCTACACCCAACCGTGGAGACAGGACTATGGAAGTTCCACCTGCTATTTGCTGGTGGTCCTCATAGCGAACGATCCCGACGTGGGGCTTCAAGGTGGTGAACGGGTAGGGCGCCACGGCAGGCCTTGCGTTCGAGATGGCCCGGAGAAGCGAGGACTTCCCGGCATTGGGGAGCCCGACCTGGAAGAGGCGGAGACGGGGTGTCACCTCGGGAAACCTGTGCCAGCACTGGGGACAGAGCTTCTATTCTCGGCTATGCAAACGCCCCCTCCCTCCTCCAGCCCGAGGCCCCACACGGTCCCCACCATCCCGGCGTCGGCCACCGTCTTCAGCTCCAGGAAGAGGATGCGCTCCTGACCGGGCTGCCCGGGGGTGCAGGTCACCGGTGCACGGTTGTCATTGGCCAGGAAAAAGCGGTTGCCTTTCCCTCCTGCCCCCCCAAGAGCGGCGATGTACTCGGCGCCCGGGCGGGACAGGTCAGCCACGACTTCACTGCCCTCCTTCACTAACGTGCCCACGGGGACCTGAAAAGAATAAAGCACTTGCACAGCTGGAGGGCAGACATGTGGCGTGGACCAGACCCCGTGCATCTGCCCACATCTGGAGGAGGGGCGAGGAGCAGGGGGAGGGGGCACCGCTAGGCCCCCTCCTCACAGAGCTACAGAGCGCCAGGAGAAAGGTCCCGACCCACAGAGGGACTTTAGGGCCATCACACTCCCTGTAATCGGCCTAAGTGGCTTTTTGGAATGGTGTTTCTAAAACATTAGGGTGGATGGAAGCCTCTGGAAAACACTTGGATCATCTGAGAGAGTCAAGTCCCCATGCCCCGAGGCGAGGCCCTGAGAGGGTCAGAGCAGAGGGGGAGGGGACCCCTGGGGTCCTGCATTTTAATACAATGATTTCCTGATTTTTGAAAACAGGTCATATATGCATGAGGGCTAAAATTAGGACCACATCTCGGTGTTGGGCAACTGTGCGTCCAAGCTGGGGACCCCCGCAAAGCACCTCGCGCAGCCACGGCGGGCTCACCTGGACGTAGAGGACGGCGCCGCCTCGCCCGGAGCAGTTCTTCCGGCCGCCGGCCTGCCCGTGGAGGCCCTGGTACCGCGACAGCACGGAGGACAGCGACTTGACTTGCTGGTCAGCTACGAGTCAGAGCAAGGACCTTCACCCTGCTTGGCATTTACAGGCAGAATCCTCTGCACACTGTCAACTTCCCCTGGGTCAGTGTAAGGACCGAATGCTCGCACCCGGAAACACGGACTGAAGTTGTAGCACGAGATACTGAACAAGCAATGTGACATTTTATAAAGCTAAATTCTCACTTTCTTTCAAAAAATACAAGTTTTGAAAAATTCAAAATTACCCATAATGCCGTCATCAAAGTAAAAATAGTTCCACTTTCGGGTTTGCCTGGGTGGCTCAGTCAGTTAAGTGTCTGACTCTTCAAACTGGCTCAGGTCACAATCTCAAGGGTTCATGGGATCAAGCCCCACATCCCGGCCCCATGCCCAGTGTGGATTCTGCTTGGGATTCTCCTTCCCTCCCTCTCTCTCAAAATAAAGAAATAAACTTTAAAAAAAGAAAAAGGAGGGGCGCCCAGGTGGCTTAGTCAGTTAAGCGTCCGACTTTTGCTCAGGTCATGATCTCGCGGTTCGTGGGTTCGAGCCCCGCGTCGGGCTCTGTGCTGACTGCCAGCTCAGAGCCTGGAGCCTGTTTCAGTCTGTGACTCCCTCTCTCTCTGACCCTCCCCTGCTCACGCTGTCTCTCTCTCTCCTAGAAATAAATAAACATTAAAAAAAATTTTTTTTTTAAAAAGAAAAAGGAAAATAAAAATAGCCCCACGTTCTCATGTCATGAGCATTTACTACATTTGCCGGTTTATCAGGCGTTTGTACTCCACGTGGTCAGCACAGCCTCAGCCTCCGGCACGCTGGGAGACAGCGACCCCGACCCTGTCACTGACACACTGCACTAGAACGCTGCACTCCCTGAGGGAACACGAGCTTGTGCTCCTCAAATTTAGAAAACCCACCGCCGAAGTTGCTTTGGGGGCGTTACATATGAACGTACATATGACTTAATAAAAACGACGTCTATACGTCGACATTTGAATTCAAATCCCCACGAGGATGAGAAGCTGGAGACTCTCCACCCCCCAACAGAGTCGAGCAGACACCCCGATCCTTCCCACGCTGCCCATGGGACACGTGCCTCTCAGGATGACGTGGCCCCCGTCGCCTCCGTCACCACCGTCGGGGCCTCCGAACTCCTTCCGGGGCTCACTGTGGAAGCAGCTCACCCCATCGCCTCCATGTCCCCCTCGGATGAGCACTCGCCGATGGTCCACGAAATGCCTCTTCTGCAGAGAGCACAGCGAGCCCGCTATTCCTCACCCCTGCAGCCGTGCAGGATGTGCCTTTGTACCTACGATGGGTTTTAAGACTAGAGGTGCGGGGCACTTGGGTGGCTCAGTCGGTTAAGCGTCCGACTTCAGCTCAGGTCATGATCTCATGGTTTGTGGGTTTGAGCCCCGCGTCAGGCTCTGTGCTGACAGCTAGCTTAGAGCCTGGAGCCTGTTTCAGACTCTGTATTTCCCCCTCTCTCTGACCCTCCCCTGCTCCCGCTGTCACTCTCTCTCAGAAATAAATAAAAAAACATAAAAAAAAAAAAGACTAGAGGTGTATGGTGCTAATGTCACTAAGGTCGCCTATGATGTAAATGTAAGAGAAGGTGCCCAGGAGCCCCTACTCTTCGTAGGCCCGCGTCCGTCAACAAGGCACACGTGAAAAGTGGTCAGCCTGGAATTCACAGTTGGATAATGAAGCCAACATTCCCAAACAAGAAAACAAGAGCTGTTTAGAAAATATTCCTTAAATAACACATCTTTCCGTATTTTTTCAAATAGAACTGCACTAGCGACATAAGAGGTCTCTACTACCAGAAAGACACCACAGGAACATGAGGGAGTCCTCGGCGGATTCTCAGGCTTCTAACTCTGCAGAAGGAATGTTCCCTGCAGCCCGACTGAAGACGGCTCCCGTCTACAGGTCGCAACACAAACAGAACTCCCGACCTGAGAGGAAGTGGTGCCCTAGGCCCCTAAGGGAGGCACAGTCTGGGTAAAGAATGAGAACTAACTAGGTTCACATTAACAAACATCAGCTCAGCCTCCAAGAAGGGCAGCTCTCCGAGGGGCCAGGCTACCTTGCCAGGGACGCTCCTGCCAGTGGGCAGCGCCCCAGCCTCCTGCACGCGGGTGCGGCCATCCACGCGGCCCCTCTGCCAGGGCACCTGCATTTCTGCCCGCTACTCCAGAAGCACATCTTTTTTTTTATACACAAGTAGTTTAAGATCCTCTGGCACCACCACGTGGAAAAACCGTGAATTACCATTTCAAAAAACCGTGAAGTGTAATTTTCCTATATGCTAACATAATCAAAATCAACCTGATGACCAAAAAATGATGAACATTCTAGGCAAAATAAAACTTAGATTCAATGTGTACATTCAGGGGGAGGCCAAGACGCATCGGAAACGCTGTTCGCCCAGTGATGCTTCTGCCCCCCCACACACCCATTTAGGAGTAAATGAAGTGGGTCATAAGCACGTATTTTCTTAAATTTAATCAAAGATCATTCATGTTTCTAGTGGATCTTGGTGAACAGAAAGAAACCAGGAGAGGCTTAAAGAACCATAAAACTAAAGGCATGCCTCCTCCCCCCACAGACGTTTTAAGTTAAGAACGACTCATCCCCACCTAAGAAGGAACCTGTACACACGTCACAGGGCCGCCGGGGGGCTCGGTCGGTAGAGCGTCCGGCCCTTGACTTCGGCTCAGGTATTGACCAAGTGGTGACTCAGGTGGTGAGTTCGAGCCTCACGTTCGACTCTGTGCTGGCGGCGCGGAGCCTGCCTGGGACTCTCCCTCTCCCTCCCTCTACTGTCCTCCCCCTTGAAATAAATAAACTTAAAAAAAGGAAAAAGAATGCATCTAGTGCACGTGTCGCTATGCAGGCCGTGCGCCCTCCCGGCTGAAGGAAGGAACACGCTGGTGCTCCCAGGCGCCTTCCCCGCTCCCGTCGTTTACACGAGAGCACGGAGAGCACAGGGCATCCCTTCCGCCTCAGCATGTTGCAGATGCGACCTGTGTCCCTTCAGTAACACCATCAGAGCAAGTGAATGGGAGAGTGAGCACTCACAACAGCGCCATATGCCTTCTGGGCGGGGGGGGGCGGGGGGGGGGGCGGAACCTCCTTCAAGGTCAGATATCTCACCAGCTTCTTCTCGGAGAGCAGTTTCTTCCCGGGGGGGTCCTGGTGCTTGGCGAGGTCCACGCAGCTGGCCGAGAGCGGCCTGGGGGGGCCGTGCGGAGGGAGCCGGCCGGGCTTGACCCAAGTCCAGCACCCCATGCCCCCAAACACGGTCCGAGGTCCTCCCGAGAGAAGGCGCGAAGGCAGCATGGCTCCTTAAGAAAAATCAAATGGGCAAAATCAGATGCCTGGTTAAACCTGCAAAGCGACGGGCGCCTGGCAGCTCAGCTGGTCAAGCATCTGACTCTTGATTTTGGCTCAGTCATGATCTCACGGTCGTGAGACGGAGCCCTGACTCGGGCTCTGCGCTGACAGAGCACAGCCTGCTTGGGATTCTCTCTCAATATAAATAAACTTAAGAAAAACCCAAAACCCTGCAAACTGAAACTAGAGAAAAGGCCTGGGCACAGCAGTATCTCAAAGTGTGTTTAAAATTTTTTTTTAACATTTATTTATTTTTGAGAAAGACAGAGACAGAGTGTGAGTCAGGGAAGGGCAGAGAGAGAGGGAAGCACAGAATCCAAAGCAGGTTCCAGGCTCTGGGCTGTCAGCACAGAGCTGGACGTGGGGCTCGAACTCTTTAACTGTGAGATCATGACCTGAGCCGAAGTAACCAACTGAGCCACCCAGGGGCCCCATCAATGTGTGGTTTTGGAAAAAAAAACCCATCAACGGGACTTCCTTCCGTCACCAGTCCAGCCCCGGGCCAGGAAGGGTCCCCTGCCCTCCTCAGCCTCTGTCTTACTTGGGAGGAAGCTCTGTGTACAAAGGATTTAAATCGTTACATCTCCCGCAACACTGGATACACTCCCGTACAGGTTGTCAAATATCTGCTCAAAAAGAAAACCTGAGCCTCAAGTAAAAATTTCTTAAAACACCCAGGAGCGCCTGGGGGGCCCAGTCAGTTGGGTGTCCGGCCCTTGATTTCGGCTCAGGTCATGATCTCACGGTTTGTGGGATCGAGCGCCTTGTCAGTGTGGGGGGTTGCTTGGGATCCTCTCTTGCTGCCCCTTCCCCACTTGCATGTGCATGCTCTTAAAATACCTGCTAAAAAATGTAACGAAACACTCAATCACTCAAATATTAGTGGGTTATCCGGTACAACTCAAAACTAGCCAAACTGGACCACTGAGGATATGGACTATGGAGTGTGGTGGTCATGCCCCGGACCGGAGGCAAATGTCCCCTCCGCCCTTGTCCCCAGTGTGAGCCGAGGAGCACTCTTCCCTGTGTGTCCGTCAACGGCACAGAGCTGGCTGGACAGGCCGCCCACCTGCACGCTCAGTGAGTGTGAGCCACTTGTCCCTAACTGGGAGCTGCTCGTGCCGTTACTGGTTCATTCAACAGCCTGTAGCGGGTACACACCTGCTGGTGCCAAGGCCACATGGGAGGCAGCCTGGGACCTGGGCCTCTAGCGGCGGTGGCCCCTCCTTTTGCAGTGAGTGCCCGCTACCCACCCGCTCTGACGTCCCTGCCGCATAGGCACACATGTGCCACACAGAAGGAAACTCATTTCTAAGTATGAAATATATATGCAGACAGGGATAGAAATGTACACTTAATATTTAAAACACAGGGGTGCCTGGGAGGCTCAGTCGGTTAAGCATCTGACTCAGCTCAAGTCATGATCTCACGGTTCGTGGGTTCAAGCCCCGCGTCGGGCTCTGTGCTGACAGCTCAGAGCCTGGAGCTGCTTCGGATTCTGTGTCTCCCTCTGCCCCTCCCCTGCTCATGCTGTCTCAAAAATAAATATTAAAAAACAATTAGAAAGCCACCAAGCGTGTAGCACAGCAGGAGAGGAGACATGATCTGCCTTGTCCTTAGAAGCCCTTCCTGTGTGCCTCCAGCTCCACGTCTGGGCTCCGCATGGAAGGGACTTTTCTCTTCACAAGGCACGGAAATGTTTTGCTTCTCATTTGGAAACAGTCATGGTTATGGAAAAGCTGGAGTAGGGGGTGGAGGACTCCTTCCTTCTGGAATGGCCTGCGGGGAAGCTGCCGGCCCAACTCCCCAAGCCCCAGGTCATCTCACGTGCCCCCACAGAGCCGGTGTCCCCCGCGAGCAGGTCGCCCGGCCCCCGCACAGCCCCCCGCACGGCTCTTCAGTCTCCCTGGCCTGGGACGCTCCTCAGCCTTTCCTTGGCTCTCGTGTTCGGGACACTTCGAGGCCACAGGCCGGGCATCTTGCAGCACGTGTGTGTCCCCCGTCTGACGGACGTCCCCTCCCCTCGTGACAAGAATGTCACATGGGCCCCGCAGAGGGTGGGTCTCCTTGGTCCCTTCCTGATGCACCCGGAGCTCCTGCCCTCCGGGGTCCCTGCCGGGGTCCCCCTCCCCATTAGCTCCCCATTTATTCAGTGTCGTGGGCTCGTGCTTCCCTATTTTGTTCAGTGAGCTACACTTGGATATGCATGCACTTATTTGTGCACTTATTTATCTATCTATGTATCTGGCTATCATGTTCCAACTGTCTCCAGTTTGGCCAGTGGTGGCCCATCGATGTTTGAGAACTTCCTGCTTCCGGCTACAAAGCGTTCTGGGCTCACTTCATGTTCCCCCCAGATGACCCTGAGATCAGCCTTTACTCAAGAAGCCCCGCTGCTGTGAGTGGAGAACGGGATTCAGAAGCCGCTGGGCACGGTCCTCGTGGTCCCGGCCACTGGGCTGTCGCGGCTCGTGGGCTCTCGGGGGGCACCCGGAGGGCAAAGGTACGCGCACCCACACACAACTCGCCTGTGCAGTCATTGCTACGCCCGTCTGCCCACAGCGAGCAAGCAGGCATTCACACCCAGGTGCCCACCGCACACCACGCGACGCACGCTTGTTTCCTCTTTCTGTCTTGACAGCCCCATTCCCGGACCGCCGGGGCCCCGGACAGCGTCTGGACATGTGTGTTCACTGGCTCAATCCCCACAGAAGCCAACCCTCCCCTCCCTCACCCCCCTGCTGTGCCATCCTCCCACCCCCATGGGGATACCCTCCTGTTCCCTTTCTGTAAGTATATATCATTTGTATAACCTTTATTTGGGAAGGATTTTAGACTTAACACAAAAAGGTGAAAGATATTCCCACATACCCAGTTTCCCCTAACATTAGCGTCTTACGTGACCGGGATACGTTTGTCAAAACTAAAAACCCAACTTCGGTCTGTTACTATTCGTTAAACTCCAAATGGCATTAGGATTTCACCAGTTTTCCCACCAACAGCTCCTTCTCTGTCCCAGGGCCGCATCACGGGCCCGCGCGGCGCTCCGCCACTCGGAGTGCCGTCTCTAAGACAAGGCCGCCCGCCCGGCGTTTGGGGCCCGGTGAGGATGCCCGTCGGGAGGGGCGATGACACAAGGCCGTCTCGGATGGTGAAAAAGCTTTTCTTCAAGAAATGCTCAAGAAAGTTCTTCAGGCGGAAGAGCACGGCACTCGAGGCACCCCCAGATCTTCAGCAATGAGAGGCAGCAACCGAAGGGAAAATGTGTAGGACCACTGGCCGCTTTCCTCGTGAGAGCTCTCCGAGCCCCGAGCAGCCGAGCGCGGGTGACAGGGGACGCCTGAGCACATGCCAGCAGTTCCGGAGAACGGGGCTCACAGAAGCAGGCAGAACAGACAGACAATACGTAACAAAACAGCGTACTGTGACCTAACCAGACGCCTAACTGAGGTAAGACAGATGTCCGGAAACAGCATTACGGGAGGCGAGGGGAGACATCGGACAGGGACCCGAGGGCACCGAGCAGCCGCGGGTCTGCGCAATGACGGCCTCAAAACACACGGGGCAAAATCTGAAAGAACTGAAGGGAGAAGCGGACCTCGGCACGGCGACAGCGGGGAGTTTTAATACTGCTCTCTCAGGAAGTGATTAAAAAAAATGTAGTGGAAAAGAAAACTAACAAACAACCGAAAACAGCGAAGGTGCAGAAAATCTGAACCATCTTATCAACAGGGTCAATCTGACCTGCACAGAGCAGTTCATCCAACTGCAGAGCTCGAGTTATCTTCAGGCGTGTGGAACCCTCGCCACACAGCCCATCAGATGGGACGCAAAGCCTCAAGCATCGACTCAAGAGGACGGAAACCACGGGGTGGGGGGCGGTGTTCTCCGGCTACAACAGGACGGGAGTCAGGACGGATACAGCACCGAGGAAACCCCAGCGACCTGGATCTAAAACCAACTAAGATCAAGAAACCAGAAAGTGCAAAGCAAAGTGGAAGGGAGGAAATAATAAAGAGTAGAAATACACACTAGGAGACAGAAAAACATTACCGCCACTGAAAAGACTCACGGAAAAGACCCAGAGCTGACAAAGCTCAATTCGGACTGATCAAGAGTGAATGCAGATCCCCAATGTGAGGAATTAAAAAGGGGTTCTCAGTACCTACTGTACAGACACGTGAAGGGTAAAAGGATGCTCTGAACAAGTTTTGCCAGCGAACCCAACAACTTGCGTGAAATGGACAAATTTCTTGAGAAATGCACCTTACCATCTAACACAAGAAGAAACAGAAAATCTATATAGTTCTGTGTCTACTGAAAAAAATTAAACTGCTTATAAGAAACATTCCCCAAAAGACTCTAGACTCAGACAATTTTACTGGTAGATTCTAAAGAACATTCAAGGAGGACAGAACAGCAATCTTAGACAAACTTTCACAGAAAAAGTAAGTGAGTTCACTACCCAACTCACTTTACAAGGCCAGCGAAACTCTAGTACCAAAGCCTGATGTTACAAAGAAAATTACAGTCCAACATCCCTTGTGAACAGAGACACAAAGCATCTTTGACAAAAGAGCATCCAGTTGAGGCCATCACACACCAGGGCCAAGCAGGTCGCCCCCCGGAACATGGGCCTTATCAGCAGTTACTAACCCCACTCCCCTCTCCCACTGTCAATCACATTCATCTGACCCACGTCAACAGCCATTTGTGATCAGGAAAAGGAAATGCTGCAGCAAACGAGGAACGGGGGGGGGGAACATCTCTAAGCTGACACCAGGCATCGACAGAAGGCCCACGCAGCCATCACACAGACCGGAGAAAGACTGGACTGTCACCCCGAGCTGCTCAACACTTCTATGAAACACTCTTTCAAACACTGCGATAAAGAACTAAAGCAAAACAAAAAAGGAGAGGTGACTGTGCAGAAGATATGATTGTTTCCACAGACAGTCCCAGGAAAACCTATAAAACAATGACTAAAATTAATAAAAGGATTAAGCAAGTTTGCAGATTATGAGATTGACACCTAAAAATCAATTGTTCTCATATGCTAGCGCCAAACAACTGGAAAGGGGAATTAGGGAAACCATCTCCTCCACAGTAGCGCCGGATACAAAAAGTACCTAGAAACATGTTTAACTATCAACATTCAAGACCTCTACCTCATTGCAAAACACTGAGCTGAGTACTTTTAGGGATGACCTCATCCAGGCCTCACAACTACTCTTTAAGGAAAGTGCTTTCAGTCTCCCTGGTTCGGCAGATGGAGAGCCGGAAAGTGGCTCACCGAGGTCTGGGTGGTCAGGTGGCAGGCGGCAGCGGTGCAGTAAGGGACGAGACCAGACCGCCAGCACTGCTGCCCGCACATCCACAGCTGCCCCGTGCACCCAGCCGTGGCTGACACCAGGCACAGGGCACTGGTGACACGAAACCCGGAGGAGACCCATCGCGGAGGTCGTCGGCTCCGGGGCCAGAGACGTGCGCTCGGAATCTTGCCTACGGGGCGTACTTCTTCCGGCCCTTCCAACTCTGGGTGGAAAAAAGCCTGCTGACGGCATGCCTAGTGACAGGGCTTCCCTCGCTAAGTAACAAGTTCCATGTCGCTTCACACTGCTGTTTGCTCTGTCTTCCTTCTAATGTCATACCTGCACTGCGCAATGAGGGACCACTAGACACATGGGGCTCTTCAGTTAAATCAGTTGAAAATTTAAAAACAGGGCGCCTGGGTGGCTCAGTTGGTTGAACATCCAGCTTTGGCTCGGGTCATGATCTCACCATTCCTGAGTTCAAGTCCCGTGTCAGGCTCTGTGCTGACAGCGCAGAGCCGGCTTCAGATCCTCTGTCCCCCTCTGGCTTTGCCCCTCCTCTGCTATCTCTCTCAAAAACACACATTTAAAATAAATAAATAAAAATGTAAAAATTCTGTCTCTCAGGTACACAAACCACATTTCAAGTGCTGACAGCCACGTGGGGCCAGTGGGCCCCGTAGCGGACATCACACTTCCACTACTGCAGAGAGTCCTGCACAGAGTGCTGGGCTCTACTGTGGGAACCTCAGAAAGTGAGCTCAGATTCCTCCCGGGAGCATCCGTCTTCTGGGCGCGTTCAGCAGATAAAGGACAGACAGTGATGAGAGCCCAGGGTCCAGAGTCCAGCGGGTGTTATGGTTACAGGACGGGCTTTTACAATTGCTGGGAAGGCGCTTAGCACGTGGCAAGGGCTCCACTTTATTTATTTTTTAACATTTACTTATTTTTGAGAGAGAGAAAGAGAGAGCAGGGGAGGGGCAGAGACAGAGAGGGAGACACAGAATCCGAGGCAGGCTCCAGGCTCCCAGCTGTCGGCACGGAGCCTGATGCGGGGCTTGAACTCATGAGCTGAGAGATCATGACCTGAGCTGAAGTTGGACACTTAACTGAGCTCCCCAGGCGCCCCCCCCTTTATTTTTAAAATTATCTATCATTACTTTTCTTCACGTAGGCTCCCTGTCCAACGTGGGCCTACGAACTCCCCGCCCCCAGATGCAGCGGGATGCTCTGCCCACCACCGAGCCAGCAGGGCTTTGGGCACTATCGCTTCGTTCTAAACAGCGTTGAGCCCAGCTGTCCTGCTGCACAGAAGTTGTTCTTTACCAAGAACCTCTTCTAAACCTACAGAAATCTCAAAACTCATTCCTTACAACCACCTACGAGCGGAAGTGCTGGCTGCAGAGCTGACCCGGAAGGACCTCCCTCCGGCAGCGGCGGGGGGCGGGGCGGAGGCACTTGCTCTCCCTGCCGTCCGGGAAGCCCCTGCGGGCCGCTCTCATCTGGTCCCGGGGGCGGCACCCTCCCCACTGGTTCTCTGGGTTCGGGGGCAGAAGCGACTCCACTGCGGCAGCGCCAGGCCGGCGCCCCGCCTGCACCGTCTCCGCACACGTTGCTCCTCGACGGCTCCGTGGCGATGCTGCCCGCCCCGGACCCGAGAGCCCGCCTGCTCAGGGTCCGCGGCGACAGCCGCCACACGGGGCAGCGAGGCTGTCTCCCGCCAGCGCCCGGCGCGGGTACGCGGGGCAGGGAGCCGCGTCTGCAGCAGCGCTCCGTCTACACGCGCTCCGAATGCTTAGCGGGACATGTGCGCGCTCGCGTCTCTCCTGGCGGCCGCGCGTCCCCGACGGCGACGCAGACAAGGACGCGGGGGCGCCCGGGACTCAAGGCCGCTCCCCACAAGGCGTGCCCGCCATCCCAGACCCGGCGCTCCCGTCTCCCGCGCCGCCCCGACGCGGGCCGGCGCCGCACTCGCACTCACCGCTTCGGGAAACGTCACTTCCGGGACCTGTACCTGGGTCGCCCGATCACTTCCGGGCCCGCCCCCGGCACGGCTGCGCCTGCGCAGGGCCTGCTCGGCGCGCCTGAGCGGAAGATAGCATCTCCTCCGGTCCCGGTCTTTGGGCGCAGTCCCCTGTGAAGAGGCGTAGGCGGGCGGGCGCACGGCCACCGCGTCAGACACCGGAGCCCGGTCCGACTGACGCGGCTCATCGCCATCAGAGACCCGCCTGCCCCGTTCAGGCACCGGACACCCCATCGGAGACCTGTCTGTCAGACACCCGCCTCCCCCGACAGTCGCGGCCGCTCCTGTTAGACAGACCTGCCTCCCGCGTCAGACACTGGCCTCCCTTTTCAGACCCCTGTTACCTCGTCTGACTGACCGGCCGCCTGCATCAGAGACCCGCCTCCCCCGTCAGGCACCGGCTGCCCCCTTCAGACAGACACCGTCGGAGAGACATCTGCCTCCCCCTTCGGACACTGTCCGCCGCTGTCAGACTCCCCCCCTCCACCCCGCCTCCCCCGTCAGACACCCCCCCCACCCCGCCTCCCCCGTCAGGCATCGGCTGCCCCCTCCCACCCCCACCCATCAGAGACCCACCTCCCCCGTCAGGCACTGGCCTCCCGTCAGGCACCGGCTGCCCCCTTCAGACAGACACCGTCGGAGAGACATCTGCC